TTTCTGTCTCACATGACTTCTGGAATATATAAGAAATGAATACAAATAACTAGAACATAGGACAACCTGACATAAAAAGTAATGATCTCTTGATGTGTATTCAGAAAGAGGAAAATGAAATTCCGTTTGTAAAAATCAAAAAGAACGCTTGGAAAATTTAGGTAGGTCTTGGAGGTAAAGATTTTCCTGCTGGCTCAGACAGTAAAGAATCTACCTGCAATGCGGGAGACCTGGATTCAGTCCTTGGATCTACAGAGATCACTGGCTCCATGGGGTCTCACAGAGTCGGACATGACTGAGTGACTAACACATTGGAGGTAGAACAGGAATGCGGTGGATCAGCATGGAACATGAAGGTGTTGAGGAAGAATTGTGAACAGCTTTGAACTCCAGATGTTTGAACTTTAGTTCATTATGAACATACTTTCATTTGAGTTTGTTTTATTTTTGATGAAGGGAAATGACATGATGAAACTCATGGCTCCTGCTTCTCTTACATTTTGACTCTTCTTTTCTACATCCACCATAAATGGTGGGGAGAAAAATAAGGAGTTTGTGACCAGCTCAACAAATCGAGTCCAGAGTACTTCTGCTGGGTAAATGTTGATCAGTAGAATGGATGGAGCTTATACTTACAAAATCGTTGCTTTTATTATTTATTCATTTTTAATAGTTTATTATTAAATAAGTAAAACAGCTTAAGAAATAATCTTTTTGGAAAACAATGCTTTCAAGAAATAGGCAGAAAAATATTAAAGTTACTCTCTTTGAAGATTGGATGGGAAATTAGCACCCAAGTTTTAATAATATAGAAACTAAAAGCACAATATAAATAAGAAAGGCAAAGGATATAATCTAAAGCTGTCTGTTTATGACATTGATTCTTAACCTCTGGGGACTAAAGGATCCCTTTGAGTATCCTATGAAAGTGATAGTTTCCCCAAGAAAAATACCAATAGTCACATACTCATAAAATCTGCTAAGACACTTCAGGGTGTTCTTGGCCTTCTGAAGCCCATAAATGGCCTTTCTAGGCATTCATGGCCTTCGGGTTATAAAAAACCCTGACAGAAAACTACAGCTACAAAACACAGACCATTGTTTAAGAGATCTAAGAAACTCTAGAAGTGCCTAAAATAACCATAAGCACAGTTTAGAAGCTGAAATTCCTGGGGTCTTTATAAATACCTGGATTTCATTTTGAAATGTAGTCAGAAAGCATTTAGTTAGCATTTCCCATTAAAGTTCTAAAAATGTAGATTACTTTTATTTGATGGAAAAAGTGCTGTATCTTTTAAAAGCAACATGAAAGAGCAATAGAAGGATTAGAGTTGAAACTGAGAAGACTTTAGGGCTTCTTCCAAGATATTTAAACTTGGACTAGTAATTTAGCTTCCCTGAGCTTCAGTTTTGTGCTTTATTATAGTACAGTCTTGTACTATCTTATTTTTAAGTCCTCTATATGTTCTAAAATTTCATAATTTAAATTAACTCATCTAAATCTAAAAAGACAAGATAAATAAATAACTTCTAAAAAAATGAGAATAGCTCCAGTTATTTTCACAGTAACATATTTTCAGGAAGTGATTCAAAGCTGGACATAGTTGAATTGCTAAACGACTGAATTTGCAAAAGTGGGAGATAATTAGGTTGTTACACTCAGTCCAAATTAATTATTAATGACTTCTCCATGACTTTGAATCAGAAGGGTTTTTTTCAGGAGAGGTTCTGACTGGGCTGTCTGAATGATGAATCATCTCCCACACCGAGGTGGTCTTCCCCAGCTCCAAGGTACTCATAGGAACTACCAGGAAATTTGACTGTGGTTGCCTGTGTTGTACTTGGCATTTTACTTAAAAAAAAAAAAAAAAATCTCACTTTCAGTATTGATATCACCATGCGTTAGCCTGCAGAAGCAAAGGATTTTCTTTGAGAAAAAGTGCTTGACATTAAAAAAAAACAGTGCCCTCCACCAAGGCTCCCATCATCTGAATTTACTCACCATTTGTGTGGCTTTAAATGTGACTGCACACACACCAGGACCAGGGATCAGAAATGCATCTGGGTAGCAGAAGCCGGTTAGCGTGGCCTCCTCCACCCCCTTTTGCTGTCTGTTTTTGTAACATATGTTAGCCACCAAAGAGACAAACAAGGATAAATGCTTTTCTCCTTTCCCATCTGGTTTTCTGCCAGAGATACAGGGCCTGTGCAAAGTATCAGATTTCAATGTCCTGACTGCTGAGAAATCCCACTTTTTTGTTCTCTATACATCACCATTCTTCTTCTCAATAAATATTTTTCCATCAAGTACAAAGCAATGGAGTCCAATAAAATCCATGGTTGTTTCTACTAACTCCCCTCCCAATTCCTGGTGATTAATAATGCATTTGTAGGATAATATTTTTGCACTTTATTTCTTAGAACTGTGGTCTGATATAAGGGCTGTATATCTACAATATTTTGAACTCCTGAAACGAAAAATTACAGAGTTTTTCATATATAAATGAGTTCTGGTCTATGAATCAACCAAAAAGTCTGTTGTTTGGACCTCATAATACATTTCTTATGGAAATAACTTTGAAAATGACACTAGAACTATAGATTAGAAAAGAGAGACAAGAAGAGAGAGAAGAGCCTAAATCAACACACACTACATAGCATTACACATCCTTTGCATTGCAAACATTTGTATCCTTTGCATGTCTGTTCTGTGATGGAAACCAAGAAGCCCTTAGAAGCTGGCCAGCAGGGTACAGGGCAAGGACTGTCTCTTTCAGGTGTGTAAACAGTGGGTCTCATGAGATGCTGGTTGCACCTGCCGCGTGGAGAGTTGCAGCGTCCTCATGAGGCGGTGCTGCTGTTTCTTCTAGATTAGGAACCTTCAGAACCCCAACAAGCTGAGGACTGCATAGCTACTGCAGCTGTCCATGTTTGCAATTGTCAATTGGATGTTTCAATGGCAGAGGTTGCCAAAATGTGATTAAACTCTGCTGCATAAAGAGTTATAATCTAGATGTTTGTTTGGAACTGTGGGGATCTATTAATATTTTCAACTGGCTAAATGAGCATGACTGTATAGTACCAGAGTAGTAATTTCTTTTATTAAAATTTTTCAAGCATTCAGAAAACTAGAGAGAATAATACAGTGAATGTTCATAGCTCTATCACTTCAATCTAAAAATCATTATATCTTATAATAACCTGTAGTGGAAAAGAATCTGAAAAAGAATAGATATGTCTACCTGAATCACTTTGCTGTACATCTGAAACTAACACAACACTGTGAATCAACTATATTTCAATAAAAACATAATGATTTTGATTCATTTTCATTAGTTATTTTTTACTTTTAATTGCCAGATATAATGCAGCAAAACCTAGATTTCATGTCATGTGTACTTTAGTTATACAACTCAAAAAACAACCACCTTTTCTTATTCAATGGCAATGATATTATAACTCCTAATAAAAGTATTTTTATTATGTTATACCATGTTTATAATCAATTTTCTCTCATTGCCTATAAAATATCTTTTATATTCAGTTTGTTATCTAAACAGGATCCCCCACGATACATTTGGGTGTTATGTATCTTAAATATCTTTGTGTTTGGAGCAGTCCCATTCCCTATTTTTTTCATGTACCATTGACTTGTTGCCAAATTTATGCCAGTGTCATGATTGTCAGTGATGTTTTTCCCCCTTAGGCAGTATTTAACAGGTTGCTTTATTCGTTATGTTAACATATCCTTTAAATGGGTATTAACTTTGGAGGTGAGCGACGTCTTAAAATATCATTAAAATGTACTGATTTTGTAATATGTAGATTCTAACAGGTCATTTAGATTATGATTAAAGAAAAATAAAAGATTGTTATCTCCCATCACTGACAGAAGAAAGAATAATATGATCAAGATTAAAAGAGTTCCCACATTGTTTAATATTAATCATATTCCATAACAAATGTCTTATATATGGCCTGCTCTTTTTAACGCTACTTGTCTGGTTTCTACATTTCTTGAAGATTCTGGCACAAGGGATTCTTACTGAGAAATGTTGGGAGAGAACATTAGAGAATTCTAGACCAAATTTTAAAGGGTCTAATACCAAAAAAAGGTCCCCTTTACATATTTGACTTTGAAATATGCCTCAAAAATGGACTGCAAAATGGGGCATTTACAGTCAGAGAACATTTAGGCATCTACTTGAATAAGCAAGGACCACCCTAATGCTACTGCAATAGTAAGTTGCTACATGACTGATTATTGGGTGAATCCAACTCCAGAAAATAAATATAATACTTGGTTTTCTTTCCCCTAGTTATGCTCTGTTATTATAAATCAACAAAGAATAGTTGATAGGTGAATAACATAAAATGACACAAGACCTGAAAGAATTATGCCTTGGCCACAGTGGCATCCAAACACAGTAACATTTGTAACCCTCAGAGCACTGTTATGTAGTTACTAAAGTGAAAGTGTTAGTTCTCAGTCATGTCCCACTCTTTGTGACCCCACGGACTGTAGCCTGCTGGGCTCCTCTGCACATGGAATTCTCCAGCCAAGAATATCAGAGTGGGTTGCCATTTCCTTCTCCTGAAGATCTTCCCAACCCAGGGATCAAACGTGGCTCTCCTGCATTGCAGACAGATTCTTTATTGTCTTAGCCACCAGGGAAGCCAGATACCATTATTATTCCCATTTTAAAGGTAAGGAAACTGAGTTACAAAAACTTTAAGTAATTTTCCCAGTACCACATAATAATAAACAGAGGATTCAGGAACTAAACTGAGCCAATCAAGCTCTTAACCTCACTACTATGCTATATTGTCTCTTAGATATATGATGAGCTTATTGCTATCTTTATATAAACACCAGAAGATAGAGAAATTTTTTCTGACTCTGAAAATTGCAACATTTTATAACCATGTGGAATTTTAATGTCAGTACTTAAATATTACATATAATTTAATAATAACTGTGTTCCTTTTCTTTTATAAAGGTCATCGATAACCTTGGTCCTTTGGAACTGATTCTTAATACTCCTAGCCATCATAGGGTTCATCATGGTGAGGAAATTGGATCTTTCTTTCATTTCTTAAAAAAATGATATTATTTTGTATCGTTTCATCACAATTACCCAATCTAGTCACCACACATTTTACAAATAGGCATTTGCTTCTTCTTTTGTAGCTGGACAAACCTCATCCTCAAAGCAAGGATTAGAGGGAAAAAAACAAAAAAAAACACAAAAAACCTTTCCATGTCTGGCTTTTAGATTTTCCTTTTTCCTTAGATCTCTTCAGATGTAGTGGGAAAGAGTTCACCAGACGATGGAGTACACACTTCATAGAATCTGGTGTTGTCAGTGAAAAGATATTTTTAGGAATATCATTGTTTCAAAAGTATAACTTCCTTTTTAAAAAATAAACTTAATATTTTCTCTCACAGGCAGAAACCGTTATTGCATAGACAAAAATTTTGCTGGAACTCTTATTATATGGGATAGAATTTTTGGTAAGTAAAAAGTATGAGCATTTAAAAAATTAAATTAACTCCTTAATTCACAGAAAGTCAAAGATCATATCATTACTGTTTATTTTCCAGGGACATTTGAAGCAGAAAATGAAAAAGTTGTATATGGTCTAACACATCCCATTAATACATTTGAACCTTTCAAGGTGCAGGTAATGGTATTGAATTTATTCTTTCTGAATTGATTATATCTTTTTATAAATTTTATATTTGAAAGAAAATTTAGTTGCCAAAAGGTAAAAGTACATTAATTACATTGACCTGAAAAAAAATTTACTTTAGCTGTAAAAGAATTTGAAAATAATTCTGGCACTCCAATACTTGAATCAAATTGGGCCAAATAAATTTGAAAACAGTTCATTGAAACAATTTTTAAAGATGTCTGTTACATAGAATTAAAAGATATATTTCTTTAGCAACATACCTCTCAGAATAGACCTGAAATATATTCGTGTATTCAGAAGGAGTGGTAGTAAAATGTATAATTAAGGCTGATCCCAGAGTAAGAAAAATATTTGCTTCAAGGCTACATGACTCTGGTTAGAAATTCAAGGTGAGGCCTTTGCCCTCTTCTTCTTGGACTGAGGTGTCAGGAGCTATTATGGGTGGGTTAGGTCTGCACATTACCTCACCTGTTAAGACTCTTTGCCCTGGACCAGTTTTCTGTCAGACATGTGGTATTGGTTGTTCGCTGGTCTCAATGGTTGGCACTAGAGAGATGAGGAATGTCTGTGAACCTCGGATCCGTCAGCGGCAGACCAACGCAAACACTCCCCAGGGTCAGGACTAGTAAATGAGAAAAAGATAAGGATGCTTGAAAAACTGAAGAGGTCAGTCAATGACAGCTCTGTCCAGGGGACTGGATATACAGCATTCAGAAAGGGAGAAAGTGCAGGTTCATGTTGGGTCTGCTTTACAAACCTACTTCCTCAAAGTTTTTAAAGAAAGTTAAAGTAAGAAAATTGACATTTATTGGGCTTTGACTATATGCAGGGCATTGCTAACTGCACAAATATTTAACCATTGTTAAAACTTACTAAGGTTTATCTTCTATTCAGATCAGTTCAGTCACTCAGTTGTGTCTGACTCTTTGCGACCCCATGGACTGCAGCATGACAGGCCTCCCTGTCCATCACCAACTCCCGGAGTTCACTCAAACTCATGTCCATTGAGTCAGTGATGCCAACCAACCATCTCATCTTCTGTCATCCCCTTCTCCTCCCACCTTCAATCTTTCCCAGCATTGGGGTCTTTTCCAATGAGTAAATTCTTCACATCAGGAGGCCCAAGTATTGGAGTTTCAGCTTCAGCATCAGTCCTTCCAATGAATATTCAGGACTGATTTCTTTTAGGGTGGACTGGATGTACCTCCTTGCAGTCCAAGGGACTCTCAAGAGTCTTCTCCAACACCACAGTTCAAAAGCATCAATTCTTCGGTGCTTAGCTTTCTTTATAGTCCAACTCACATCCATACACGACTACTGGAAAAACCATAGCCTTGACCAGATGGACCTTTGTTGGCAATGTCTCTACTTTTTAATATGCTGTCTAAGTTAGTCATAACCATCCTTCCAAGGAGTAAGCATCTTTTAATTTCATGGCAGCAGTCAACATCTGCAGTGATTTTGGAGCCCCCCCAAAATAAAATCTGTCACTGTTTCTATGTTTCCCCATCTATTTGCCATGAAATGATGGGACTAGATGCCATGATCTAAGTTTTCTGAATGTTGAGCTTTAAGCCAACGTTTTCACTCTCCTCTTTCACTTACATCAAGAGGCTTCTTTAATTCTTCTTCACTTTCTGCCATAAGGGTGGTATCATCTGCATATCTGAGGTTATTGATATTTTTTCCAGCAATCTTGATTCCAACTTGTGCTTCATCCAGCCCAGCGTTTCTCATGATGTACTCTGCATGTAAGTTAAATAAGCAGGGTGACAATACACAGCCTTGACGTACTCCTTTTCCTATTTGGAACCAGTCTGTTGTTCCATGTCCAGTTCTAACTGTTCCTTCCTGACCTGCATACAGATTTCTCAAGAGGCAGATCAGGTGGTCTGGTATTCCCATCTCTTTCATATCTTCTGTTATCTTTCATACCTTCTGTTAGCCTCAGTGTTTTTTTTTTTTTTTTTTTTTTGGTGAATAAAACTGAGATTCGCAGGATTCAAATAATTCCTCCAACTATTCACAGTTTGTCAGATTCAAACCTAAAAGGAGAGTGGACTGAAGGCCCAGTTCCAAACTTGATCAGCTGAATTTTATGCAAAAGGCTGTCATAAATTGACTTCACTTTTCAAAAAAAAAGGGCATTTTTATGTCGCCATTCAGAAGAAAAAAGTTGACTATTTCTCTTCGTTCTTCTCAACTAATGGTATTTTTTTCCTCTCTCATTTTCTCAGTCTTAGGTGCTACTAAGAATGTGATAGATTTTTTTTTTCCCAGGAAGATGTTAGCAAATATTTCCAGGTACTTTCTTAATAAATATTTCTAGGTACTTTCTTTATAGAACTGAAGTCAAGTTTCAAGATAATACACTTAGAGACACTTCTTCATTCGGTATGGTCTTGTCTTCATAATGTAGAGATTAAAAAGGAAATACAGCTTAGTCTCTGTCCACTTGGAGAGAGCCTTTCAAACCTAATGTGCATATGAGTCATGGGAGGATCTGATTTAAGGGTGGGTTCAGTAGGTCGAATTCCATCCAAGACTCTGTGTTTCTACAAGCTGCCAGGAGATGCAGACACTGCTGGTTCATGGTGATCCTTTAACTAGCAAGGCTTGGGGAGTGTACACGTGGAGGAAAAGGGACTCTTATTTGAGATACAATAAGAGGTTGAAAACTGCATGGCGTGAGCTGCACAAGGAATTGGACGATTAGGTTTTGAAGACACAATACTCAGACAATCACAGGTCTTTATAAGCTGCTGCTGAATCTGTGCTCAATAATCCAGGCTTCTGCCCTCAAATAAAATTTCCTTCAGTATAATAATTGTCAGAACTGTGTCTAAGGTTTAGTCTTCTCATACTCCCTTACATTGTCAGAATTATCAAATCAGGAAATTGTAATAATTAGGAGTCAAATTACAAAATTGCATATCTACTTTCACTTGTATCCCTCTATATTTAGCTAAATTTCTCGCCTTCCCAGCAGAGGATTCAAACTCAATTTAGAATGGCCCCTGTTAGATAGAGAGGGCTTTTTTTTCCTTCTTTATTTTTAAGCGTAGACCATTCATTTTGCTTTCCTTTGGGGTCCAGGTATTTCAGGCCATTGGCAGAGAAATAAGTAAATAAGTGAGAAAGTGCTCTTTATTTAAAAACATTACCATGTATTTCTCATGGCTTGTGTCTAGAATGATAGTAATACACTTGCAGTCAGTTTTTAAATTAACAAAACAGGTAAGTGTATTAATGTGTGTCATGCTATTAATTTTCTGTATTATTATTTTTTTTATTACAAAGCCTCAGCTAAATCCTTCATTGTTCCTTAATTGCTTTAGAGTCCTATTGTAATATTTCAAGTAATTTTAAAAGCCATTTTTATAATGTTAGCAGTTTAAATTCTGTAAGAGATCATGAAAATACACATGAGACCACTAAGTCTGATAGAACCAAAACTTCTCTCTGCATTAATTTATCACTGCACTTATAATAGAACTCATTTTTAGAGTCTATAGCTGATGCCCAATATCTAAGACTATTTTTAATTCTATGATGCGTTATTATAACATGTGTGGCATATATAGCTAATTATCCTAATAGCCAATATTTAATGAGTACTTGTGCATACTTTAACTTTATACCTATCAATGTGTGTTACTTAAAGAATGTGAATTGCTGCTATAAGCCTCAAGGTAAACTTTTGACTCAGTAAACTTTTTTCGTATTATAGAATATGAAAAATACTTATAAATCTAAATGGCGCTGAAATTTTTTTCTTAATGTGATATGTTTACCTGTAATTCAATATGGTAAATAAAATTCTTTTAAAAATATATAGCAGATATGCATATTTATATGATTCTAGTTCAACTTTAACAACTGTTTAGCAAGTCTAGAAAAGATGTCGTTCGACCTGGCTTGTTAAGTGCACAGGCTGCTAGTTAATACCATTGGGAGTAAAGTCTCTGAACTCATTTTTTTATTCTTTGTTGATTTTTCTAAACTATTCCCATATTTAAAAATTTCAAACTTTGTGGAGGTTTAGAAATATTGATAAGAATACATTTAAGCATAAAGGTGTATAGAAAGCATAGAATAAATTTCAATTTATAACACAACTACATATTAATCATCATTAGCAAATTATATATAACTATATATTAAAGAATAATATATAAATTGCATTATACAATAAGGTAAAACACTTGACTTAACGTATGTAACCTTTTTGTTGCGGGTTTTCCTTATTTCAAATGAATTAAATTTTTATTCTTCTAGTTCCATCATTTAGTTAACATATGGACTACATTCTGGGCCACGCCTGGGTTCTTCAATAAGTTTTCTGTCATATTTAAAGGACCAGGATGGGGTCCAGGTAAACCAAGACTTGGACTGATTGAAGAAATCCCAGAGGTAAATAGTATTCATGAATTTGATGATGGCAAAGATTAATTTCCTATTGTCAGGTCTTCAGCCAGCCTGTAATTCATGCTGACTTCATGCAAATCTGAAAAAAGATGTTTCCTGAGGCAGATGCAGTCACACAATGTGTAACTTAATGAGTGGACACCACCTAGGGGCCAATAAGAGGGGTGCCGTCTCCCAGACTGATGCTGCCTCTTCCTAGGCAGCATGGTTTGGGGCAAAGCACCAGAGACTGGTTTTCTTGGCTCAAACCCACAGCCAAGAGCCTTTGTGTAGTGCAGAAACCACACAGACACTTGTGGGTCCCTCACAGAACCTAGAATGTGAGAGGAGGAGGGAGCCTTTTGCATGATTCCGTCCAGTCTTCATTTGTCCATGAAAAACTGAGATCTACAGAATTGAGGATCTGAAGCCACACCAAAATGATGTGGTTATTGGATTCGACCACAACTTTATTCATTCCATTGTGTAGTGGTAGCAGTAAATGCAGAAATCCATTAAAAATAAAACATTAAGCAAAGTGGAGATGTAAAACATAGAAATTCAAATGAAAAATTCAGTTTCAATATGGAATTCCTCTGATGAAAATGAAAAAGGAATGTCTTTCCGATCATTTAGCATATATATTGTGATTGCTTATCAAGATAACTGTCATTAATAGTAATACAAAAACAATAAGCCACTCTTGATTTCAGAGATAATTATGAGTATAAAAATTAGTCAGTATTTCAAGGAAATAAAGTCATATGTTTTATTTGAATATGTTATTTTTCAAAAATCTCAATTTAAATAAGGATGTTTTCTCTTGCAGTTATGAAAGCTGCTGTGTTGGAATTTCCCAGACACCTGGTTATGTTCACAGCTAGTTATAGAACAGCATTCTAAACTGATAGAGGTGAAAATAGTTTGCTTATTTCAGCTCCAGAGAGTCTAGTCAGCTATGGTTCATTTATTATTTTCCTTTTTTTCAATAGATAATTCTAAGTGAATATTTTTAAGTCATATCGATGCCTAAATCTGCATTGTAAGGATAGGATTATAGTGTTTCTGGGAAACTGTAGTCTGGGAAAGTTGCTTTCAATAAGACAGTGTTTCTCTTTGCAGCAAGATTATCCCCATTACCCCAAATCACCTTCCATTTTCTCTTTTGCTATACTTTGACATATAATCATGGACATATTTTAATATTTCATTTAACATGTTCATTTTATGTTAATCATCAGTATCAATTCTTACATTGCTCTATATAAAACAGACAAGATCGACTCATAATGTTTCTGAAATGAGAAACAAGTCTCCTAATTTTTATATTTTTTCTATCTGAAGTAATAAACATGAATCGTTTCAAGGATTAAAAAAAAAGCAAAATCTTTCATTTCTTTTTTTATATCTCCTCTTCACTTAGTGTGAATTTCAATGAGAGAGATAATGGAACAGTATCATGGAAAAGTTTTTTTCTATCTTCCTAGGTTGAGGGGAAAGAAGTTCCTTTCACATCATCGGCATCTCAGCTATTGAAGATATATGTACTGGTACAGTTTACTCTGATACTGGCATTTTATGAAGAGACCTTTGCAGATAAAGCTGTAAGTAGTGCTAATTTTAAACAGAGTGTGAAAAAATTATCTGTCACTCTGAAAATGATAATAAGCTCCCTGCGCTCTATTCTTTTCTGTAGTTTTTTGAATTTTGGCAATATCTCACATTTAAACAGGTAAACAAATTCATCTACAATCAATTTAATTAATTGAGCCAATTATAAGTTAATTATATCCAAAATATTTCTGTATAAAGTGTCCATCAAATAGTAAATTATTAATCTAAATGGCAAGTAGGAAGTGATTTGCCAGAAATAAATTCTTCAACAATTATAAGGAAAGTATTTCAGAAGTTAGAATTAAGTATTTTGGGGAAAGTGGACTTTACATCAATTTCAACATGCTTATCCTCAGTCAGAGAACACCCTGATAACTTGAATTTAGGGGATTTGCAACATATGGTGAGGCTTATTTATTGTGTCCTTTCTAAATATTCAAAATACTCAGTTTGTCTTACTCAAGCACAAGAGCACTGGACCAGGATTTAGAATCTAGATTCTGATTTAGGCATTACTACCTGGGGAATCATTTTTTGGCCACATAAGAATACCCTCACTGCATACATCTTGAAGAAAACAAGAATAGCATAATGTGTATAACAACGCCCTGTAAACTATAAAAAGATAAAAACAGAAGTATTTTAAAGTATTTTTGTATCATAGATGTATTCACATTATGTTTTTTTCCAAAAAATACTAAAAATAGTTCAAAGAAATACATAAATTATAATAAAGTAACTAGGTCAGAGACTTCCCCCGTGACTCAGAGGTAAAGAATCTGCCTGTAATGCAGAAGACACAGGAGACACATGTTCGATCCCTGGGTGGGGAAGATCCCCTGGAGGATGGCATGGCAACCCACTCCAGTATTCTTGCCTGGAGAGTCCCATGGACAGAGGAGCCTGGTAGGCTACAGTCCATGGGGTCACAAAGAGTCGGTACGACCGAAGCAGCTGAGCACGCATACACAGCTAGGTAGGAAATAGGTGAAATAGAAAGTAGAATGACGGGAGAATGGAAAATTGGTGTCTTTGACTTTGTTACCAAGTAAATACATACTTCATAAAAGAATCTCACTGAGTTAAGGATGTTGAGGACTCAATGAGGACTCATTCATAGCTCTGTGTGAATAACAGTTAGTTAGGCTGTAAAGAAATAAGGAAAAGGGTGTTTCCATTTTCAGCCAAGTGTATCTAAACACCGACATCTTTTTAAGGTGTATCGAACACCTAAAGTGTATGCTGGCAAAATGTAATTTTTAAGAAAACTCTTTACACTACATAGATGAGTTGGCAAAAAAAATTGAGGTACTCCTTGGATGCTGAAAATGTTGAGAAAATGCAGGTTCAGTGAGGTGCTATTTCTGACCTGCCAGCTGCCCAGGCCCTGAATAGTCACTGTTGGTCAGTTCCTAAAGGGACCCGAAACAAAGCTGAGAGTCTACAAGGGTAGAAAGTCAGTTATAGAATTTCAAGTGAAACAACTGAAAGCAAAAGAAATACTCTTAGTGAAGGGATGGAGAGGAGGATGAGGAAAAGAAACATAAAACAGAAACTTGCCCTTACTGAACTTGGCTTTGAGTAGGCAAAAAAAAAGTCTTCCCTGTGATTTTTTAGCTACAAACCATCTCTCACTCAAATATGCATTCAGGATTTACACTAATCACTAGTTTATAAACCTAAACTAAATACATAGTTTGGTGTCAGGTGAGGACTCCTGTTTAAAAGACTCATGTTCAAATCATGCTTATAGCAGCCCTCTCAAACACAAGTCTCAGCATAGTCCCCAGGTAATATCTCAATGATAATAAACATAGAGATAAAAAGCACAGAAACACAGTAGGAGAAAGCCACCATGACAAAGCAGTTAGCAGAAATAACTAAGGAGTTAATAGATTTTGAAAATAAAATCAATTAAAACATGAATTAAGTAAATTTAATGTTTGAAGAAGCAAAGTTGAAATTAAAAAGAAATTAGAAATTATGGAAAATCAAGACACAATGATGAAGCACAATTAGAACTAATCAAATTAAACTTCTAGAACACAAAAATAGAGTGGACATGAGGAGGTCAGTGACTTCATTGACAGCTTGCTGCTGCTGCTGCTCCTAAGTCGCTTCGGTTGTGTCCGACTCTTTGTGACCCGGTGGACGATAGCTCACCAGGCTCCTCTGTTCATGGATCATCCAGGCAAGAATACTGGAGTAGATTGCCATGCCCTCTTCCAGGGAACTTCCCAGCCCAGGGATCAAACCCATGTCTCCCACACTGCAGGTGGATTTTTTACCTTCAGGAAGTCCAAAAATACTGAAGTGAGTAACCTCCAGGGGATCTTCCCATCCCAGGAATCAAACCAGGGTCTCCTGCACTGCGGGTGGCTTCTTTACCAGCTGAGCTACTAGGGAAACCCCACTCTACCATTACGCTACCTGAAGACTATTAAAAGAGAATTAGTGCATTAAAAGAGCAAAAAAATATATATCTATGATACAGTGCTTACAGACAATGATATAAAAAAACTAATAGAAATTACCTTTAGACGTAAAAAACAGTGTGAAAAAGTCTAAGAAAATGTAAAAATCAAGAAAATGCATATGAGTACAAATGGGATTAGCAGTGAATCCAGGCAAGATTTATCACCTTTTTCAAAGATTATTGACAGGTTATCAGTCTATCCATGAAAGCTCCATAGTAGAAGTTGATAAATAAGATACGCAGAAAAATTAGTCTAATATAAGGTTATGTTAAAATAAGTTTAATATATAAAGGCTTCCCTGGTGGCTCAGATGGTAAAGAATCTGCCTGCAATGCAGGAGACCTGGGTTCAATCCCTGAGTTGCAAAGATCCCCTGGAGGATGGTATGGAAACCCACTCCAGTATTCTTGTCTGGAGAATTCCAGACAGAGGAGCCTGGCAAGCCACAGTCCACAGGGTCACAAAGAGTCTGTTCTAAGGAACAGAATATCCAATTAAATGCAGCTTAAATGAAACTGAAAATTCAGAGGCAAGTATTTCGAGGATTGATTAGTTTAGCAGTTCAAAGATTCAGAGTTTCCAAAAGGCTTCTCTACAGTTCTCTGGACTTTCATCATCACAATTACAGCAATTCTGGGCATCCTGTCCTGACAATGACACCAAAAGCAGCAAGTCATTTCTTAGAAATTTCTTTTAAGAAAGAGAGGGGAAAGATTCCAGAGTATTTCTCAGCACATGTCCTTTCATGTCTCTTTGTTCAGGACGAATTCATATGCCCACACTGAAACAATAACTAACACCAGGTCATGAATTAACCATGAATATATCATATGAATAAATCATATTAAATCATATCATAATTCAAGCCCTGGGGATAAAGGGTTCACTTTCTTGCTGAGCATATCCCTTCTTTATACCTGGATAAAATCAGCTGAGTATTAATATAGAAGAAATGGGGGATATTTTCTGGTTGGAAAAATAACTGTATGTCACAGTGTATCTTGCTAAATAAAATAGATTTACAGAAAATTATTACAGAGACTATTGGATAACCTTGAAGAAAGTCATTTTAATTTTAAACATTATTTAAAGACTTTAATGATCTATGTATGTTTGTGTGTTTTTTGCATTTAAAATTAATAACCCAATATTGCTACACATAGTGACTCTAATTTTGGACAATAGACAAGTTCACTTGTGCTCTCACTCCATGTATAACTTAAAAAAAAAAAAGCTACAGAAAAGACTTCCCTGATTTTAGCAGAAAACAATGATTTCATTTCCAGTTTCCATTCTATGAACTTAAAAGAAGAAATAGGATACAGTGTGACCAGAAATGCTTTGGAAATATCATAATAGGAAATATACGGGTTTACTCTTTGCTGGGTCATATATGTGCTACACTAATGAAACCATTCCCCGTTGTAGCAAGTTCATTTGTCTTTAGCTGCAAAAGAAACAAAATTTGAAGCCAACAATTTCTTTCAGGAGCAAAAGTTTCTTAAAAGCAGCATGGATTACATTACTCTTAGCAATGCGTGTGTTGATGTCAAACTAACATAATGGTTAGACTTATTAATTGCTTCACCTAGGGCCTCATAATCATGTCTTCAATATTACATAATTATCCCATCACTGATTACTTTGTTATTTTAACTTGTTCACCTACATTATGATTAAAATATATGTGCATTAATGGAGGTTGGATAATTAACACCAGAAAAAAAGCTGCATCATCTATATCTAAATATCTACCTAACTTTTGATATACTGATCAATACTGAGTACAGTTGGCATTATTGAATTTTTAGACTAAATATAGTCTCAAAATAAATTAACCTAATTCACAGAAATAAAAATGAAGATTTACCCATTTTGACTTTGCAAGAGAGGCCTTAATATTGAGTTCACCAAGAGAATTTGACTGTGTAGGCATGCGTGAGTGCTACTTGGGTTAAAATGTAGCCAGACAGGGTGTACATTACAATATGTAACTCATAGCATGGTTTTCGCAAGATTTTTCCACTGTCGTAAAAAACTATATGAGAAACTGATGTAGATATGTCGACAAAGAGAAATATCAAGTGATGAAATCCTTTTCAGATTGAAATTAAAGTTGGAGACAGCTTCATCCTTGACACAAATTAATTTTGAAAAGTGCATTTGCTTATTTCCCACACATGTTTTCCTTTGCTAAAAACATGCTGTGCAACTAGCGGGAAAAAAGTTTGCTTATTTGCAAAATTCTATAGTGCCTTTGTAGTCTCAGGGATGTTTAAAAGCATCTGAAGACGTTAAAATCCAACAGAAATATTTTTTTTCCAGGTTGACTGTAGCCAATAATCACACAGAAAAGTTGTGGCTGACTTGTAATTGTGGACCCTGCTGTAGTCAGACAGCCTTTTCTGTTTACGTATATACCAGAGTAGATAAATACTTACTTGTTTAATGTGCGCGAGTTCTGCATAAATAACTCTGAGAGTCAGAAAAGCAATTTGATGGCCGCCAGAAAG